ACCAGCAGCAGGCTCGGGGCTCGAGCAGCTGTAAACCACCCAGCCTGTCTGCTGTGCCGGGCATCTGCTTATCCCCCGACATGCCCTGGGAGGCCCGGGCCATCATGTGCCATCACAGAGCCGTGGCCATGGGCACACACGTCCCCAGGCAGGGACAAGAGGCTTGCGGGCACGCTCCCTCGAGCTCTGCGGCGCCAGCAGCTCCGGCCGCTTGTCCCTAGTTCTTGGAAACACCTCCTGGGAGCACCCTGGGGCCGTGAGGAAGTGCCAGGTCCCAGGGCAGCCAAGGGCTGGAGAGGGTAGGCAGAACCTGACTTCTTTCCTGGAAATCCACACCCAGTTTCTGGCCCCTTGTAAGTCAACTCGTCCTTCTCCTTCCACCCTCGCGTGGACGGACAGCTCTCTGCCTGGCAAGGTGACTTACGTGGCTATTCACCTTTAACCCTCACGACAGGCTAGGGAGGACGATCCTCTCACAGGGGGACAGTGAGGCTCAAAGACGCAGCATCTGGCCCGAGGTCCCCAAGGGCTGGGACGATGCTGGCCTGCCCACACCAACCTCTCAACTCCAAAGCCAGAGCTACCCACCCCACTGGGCTTCCCCGAGGGGCCAGGCAGGCAACGAGGCTTCTCACTGGGTGATACCCAGGAACAACCCGCTCCTGGTCGGGGCGGCAGGGAAGGCAGAGCTGATGCCCCACGACAGGCCTCGCACTCGAGCTCAGAGGCACAAACTCCAGAGCAGCAGTCCCCACGGGCCCTGCCCGAGCCCCGCCCTGCAGCTTCCAGCAGGTGGGGACTGGAGGGGCGTCTGGCCCTGCTCGTTCAGACATGGGAAACACACGAGTCCGGGGTCACATGCATCGTCCTCGACTGAGCTCCTGGGGAAGAGCCCTGCTGGACCGGCAGCCAGGGCCACGGCCCAGCTCGGTCTGGCGCTACCCAGCTGTGTGACCTCGGGGCCACCTGTGCAACCTCGGCGCCACCTGACCCGTCTGGCCCTTAGCCTCCTCACCGAGGGGTCGTCCCCCTGGAACACTCGTCGCCAGGGCTGACTGCAGACAGAGGTGGGATGGCTGAGGAAGAGATGGGCCGGGCCGGGCCGGGGTGCCGGGAGGCGGCCGGTGCCAAGGAGCTGCCTACGGGCTCCACGTGGTGCACAGACCGCTTTCTCCAGGCCTGCAGGAGCCTGGCGGTCGCTCGGCTCATACCCGGGGTCTCCACGGCCTTCGCCCACGAGCTGGCCCCGCAACACTGGGAGCAAGTGCCTCCTCCACAGCCCTTCCCCAGCACACTCAGCCTGGAAGGGGGCCTGCGCCACACTCGGCGTTTCCGAAATCTCGCATTTCGTCTCCCCGTAAGGACAGAGAACCACTTTCAGCTAGCTCTGTCTCATCAAGAACAAAGAAATGTGAAAAGCAGCAGGGCACACTCAGCACCCAGAACTGAATTCCACACCCGTCACCGCCCCCAGGCGGTTTCTTAAAGGGACGCCTCCGTTCTGCAGCCCCTCACTCCTCACTCCACGGGCGAGATGCTCACAGGGCATCTTCTTGCGCTCGGCTTCAGGGCACCCTCACAGGCCACGAGCAGGACAGGCAGGAGCCCTGCAAGGACGCCCCATGGGACAGAGGTGAGGCCACTAGAGGGCCCGCCGGGCCGTGCCAGCTGTGGCCCAGCATGCCCTGGAGCAAGTGCCTGAGTCCAGGCCGGACGCAATGTCTACCCTGGCAGGTTCGCAGGGGCCAGGAGGGGACAGGGCCGCCAGGTGCCCCCGGAGGCCGCGTACCTGCAGTGATGGGCTCAGGCCCACCCAGGTGCCCCAGGGCCGCGTACCTGCAGTGGTGGGCTCGGTCGGGCTTGATGCTGCAGCACTTGGGGCACTTGTACACCACCTGGCCGGGCTTCAGCTGCAGGCTCTCGATGAACTCTTTCGTGGCGTTTCCTTTGGGCACGGCCCCCTGTGAGGGAGAGAGAGAGGAGGGGTGTCGGCGTGGGGCTGGGGTCCACTGGGCTGCCGCTGTCGGGTGGACAGAGTGATTTCAGAGCGGTAGGGGTGCAGGGGTGACACAGGAGAGGCAGCACCGGGGACAGACCCACTTCAGTAGCTGTAAATGGGGGCACTCTGAAGCCATTAAGAGGGTTGGCTCTGGGGACGGGCTGCCTGGTCCGGTTAGGTCTGCCGAGTCCGGAGCAGCCGAGGGACACCTGGGAGGAGGTGCCCAGGAGGTGGAGAGGAGCAGTCAGTGGCACAGCAGGGCTTGGAGACTGCAGCCTACACGTCGAGCACCGCGCCCTGTGGTCCCAGCCACTTGGGAGGCGGAGCAGGTGGGCTGGACAGACGTGCACTCTGGGGACCTGCTCAGTCAGCTGGCAGGATGGAAACGGGGTGGAGAGGAGCAGTCAGTGGCACAGCAGGGCTTGGAGACTGCAGCCTACACGTCGAGCACCGCGCCCTGTGGTCCCAGCCACTTGGGAGGTGGAGCAGGTGGGCTGGACAGACGTGCACTCAGTGAGGCAGCCGAGGCTGGGGACCTGCTCGAAGTCAGCCGGCAGGATGGGAAACGGGGAAAGTGGACGGTTGGCATGACCATGCCCCACCGGGGGTGCTCTCTCCCTCGCCCTTGGTCTGACAATTTAAAAACAGAACAAAACAAAAAGCCCCAAACCCACTAGCCCAGCCGCAGCGGCATGTTTGCTGAGATGCTGTACACCACAGGCTGAGGCCACACAGGCAGCCTACGTGCGAGTCCCACCCCAGCCTGAAAGACGGTGACAGTGACGCGGGCCGGAGGCTAAGGCAGCACCGCCAGACCCTGTCCGAAGCAGGGCCAGGTGTGGGCACCCACAGTCCAGCCAGCTGGGAGCCGAGGCCAGGACTGACACAGGGGCCCTGTTTGACGGAAACAGAAGAGCAAAACCAAGAAACTCAACAAAAGCCCAAGCAGGAAAATGAAGCTCAAGGGGCCGCACGAGTGGGGACATGACCAGACGCTACCACTGCCTGAGGGACACCCGAGGCCAGAGGGCCTTCATTGTCACTGCACTATGGGAGCCGCATGGCATCCTCTGGATCACACCTGAGTCGCCATCCCCGTGCACAGAGACTGACACCCCACAGACAGCACGGGCTGGGCTTCCTTAGACGAAGATCGAGGTGCTTTTCTTTCTGGGCCAGTTTGTTTTGTTTAAGGGAGATTTTTGCCATAGGGCATGTGCACTTGCCAGAAAGAGACAGAAAATGAGAAGTCACTCCCCATGGGGGATGGCCACGCCACAATCCCTTCTCTGTTCTCCTCTCGGGATCTTGGGCACGCTCAGAAGCCCAACCTGAGTTTTAAGTCTCCAGGTCTGGGACTCGAACTACGGTTGACTACGTGGGGATCCAGCGACGTAACCATTATGCCACCTGCTGGTCCCCAGGCCCAGTTTCTAAGGTCCCAGCCCCCAGAACTGCTGTGGCTCAGGAGACCCCATGTAAAGCCCTGAACTGTGATGGCCAGGGGAGCCCACTGGCACTCTCCTCAGGGCCGTGACTCAGGCTGCTCAGCCCCAGCCTGACCCCCCCAGCGGGCTGGCCCTGCCCAGGCAGAGCCCAGAGCCCAGCCCAGCTGAACCCACAGCTCAGGGCCAGGGGACAGATGGGCCAGTCCTGGGACTGAGGCCCAGGGGCCTGTGACAACGCACCTTCCAGTCACTGTCTCTGATAACTCTCGCTCTCTTTTTAAAATATGCTTGGGCCGGCAGGTGGCATGGTGGTTAAAGGCATTGGAATCCGATGTGGCCAAGCACCGTTCCAGCCCTGGACCTGGTGGCTTGCTTTCTCACTCACCACCTTCTCTCTCTTTCACATACACACACACCCTGTCCCTTCTCTGGTCAAATTTAAAGAAAGAAAGAAAGAAAGAGATAAAGGAAGAAAGTTCAGTAAAATAATTCCTAAAAAAGAAAGAAAAGAATATGCTCTTCTGGGCTCCTCTTGGCAGATTTCAGAACTCCTTGTTAGGGTCTCGGGCCTGGACACAGCAGGAGGCCAGAGGCATGCCTTACTGAGACTTGCGCTCCCTCCGGCCCCCGCACTCTCCCAGCACGCAGGGAGGCCTTGGCGTCCCCACGACACCACGGCCTGGAGACCAAGCACACAGACTCTGTCCTTGGTTCCAAAGGAACGCTGTCAGTGGTTTACAAAGAAATGCAGGTGAGAAGGTCAAAACTGGCTCTGCTTCGACCACCCAAGGCAAGCGTGAAGGGAGTTCAGCCAGCCTTCTCTCTGCGTGCGTAGTGAGCTAAAAATGCTTTGGAGAGTGGGCCAGCCAGGTGGCCTGGGGACTAGGATGGCTAGATACCACATGGCCACACGTGTGGTTCAAGTCCCACACCAAGCGACTTAGGAATCACACTGAGGAGACCAGCAGATGGCGTAACGGTTACATTGTTGGGTTCTCACGTGGTTGACGACGGTTCAAGTCCTGGAACCTGAGGCTTAAAACTCACGCTGGGCATGTGTGCGTGCGTGCGTGTGAGTCCAAAATCCTGAGGAGAATGGAGAAGGGACTGTAGTATGGCCACCCCCCGGGAGGTGATTTCTCACTTTCTGTCTCTCTGTCTCTCCAGCAAGTGCACATGCCCTATAGCAAAAAATTTCTCTCTCTAAAAAAAAAAATCACATCGGGTGTATGTACGTGCATACATGCCCCACGTCCCGAGAGGAGCATGGAGGAGAAGGGACGGGTGTGGCCCCCCGGGGTGACTTCTCACCCCCGCCTCTTGTCTCTGGCGGGCCCACCTGCCCTATCGCAGAGACTAATAAATAAGAACAAGGTGGGCAGACGCAGTGGATGTGCACTCCTCCTCTTCTCGAGCCTCACATTTGAAGTAACTTACAACGAGGTTAACGAACAATTAGGCCCAAGGAAAGGAGTGAGGTGTGACCGCGGTGACTGAGACGCTTGGCTCTGAGCGTTCTGGCAGCCAGGCCAAGAACAAACAGGTGACTGGGCCCTCCGAAAAGCCACGATGCGTTTCTGCATAGAAAAGCACACCCTCACTTCCCAACGACCCCATCCTCTGAGCTGTAAGCCTCCTGTGGGTCACAGACATTGTCCTCGATCTCAATACTCGAAAGGGATCCCTCTAGATCCAAGGGAGGCCACAGAACAAAGAATGAAAACCTACTGGTAACAGGGCCGGCAGGTGGCATGGCGGTTAAGAGCGCTGGACTCCCACCTGGCCGACCACGGTTCGAGTCCCAGACCTGGTGGCTTGCTTTCTCACTTTCCCTCTCTCTGGTCAAATTTAAAGAGCGGCAGTCAGACCCCGGCCTGCTGGTGCTCCTGCTCATACGGCCTCCAGGCCAGCCCGGGCCCTGCCCTCCTCCATCCTCCTGCCTCCAGTTCCCATGGCAGGTCCCCCCCGTGGGTTCATTAACGCGTCATTTAGTTCCTGTGGCCCCATCTACTGCCACGCCAGAGAATGGCCACACGCCGAATGGTCCAGAAGGCTGTGGTGGTCCCAGCGGATGGGATACTGTTTGCAATCACACATCAGAGCCGCAGGTGGGAGAGTAAGGGCTTGGGGGGACCAGAGACGCCTTCTGTTTCACTGGCAAGGCTAACAGGCCAGAGTGGTACATAACGGTACACTGTTCATAGCCCTGCCTCTAGGTGCGGAGACGTTCTGTTCAACGTGAACTCTGGAGATACAGAATGTTACAGTCCCGTTAGGGAACTCGGCTACGGAACTCGCACCCTGCGATGGGATCTCGGTGTTGTAAGGAACCAGTAGAGCTATTCCTTTCTAAGGATTATTGAATTTTATTTATCATTATTATTTTTTCAGTTTGTTGCAGGGCATGCTTGTTTATCAGAGACAGAGAGAGTGAGGGCAAGTGAGCAAGCCAGCCACCAGGCCCGGGATTTGAACTGTAGGCAGCCACGCTGTCCTGCTCTGCCACCCTCGCCTCCCTGCGGTGTCCCCTGCTCTGATGAGAAGGGCTCCACACAGCTGCCTGCCTCAGAGTCCAGTGTCCCATCGTCACAGCTGCTTCCGGTCTCAATCTGGACTCCCAGCGGTCACTCCTGAAGAGCCCAGGGTGCCCTCCAGGGGCCTGCTCTGCCCTCGCCTCTGCCCTCGCCACCGCCCCGGCCTCCGCCCGTCTCTCCAACATGTCAGGCCCACCCCAGCCTCCTGCTCTGGCCTCTGGCCTCTGAACTCCTACCGCCTCCGCCCTGAGGGCTTCTGGTGGCAGGCTCGCAGCTTCCTGCCCTCCCCAGGCCCTGGCCTAAGGCAGACCTGTCGGAGCACCCGTACTCCCCCACGCACGCCACTGCAGCTCCCCTGGGGCCTTCTGGGACGAGCTCTGCGCCATCACGCTGCCACCCCGTCTTGTCCACAGCGCGCCTGCTGCTCAGCAAGGCCCTCTGGCGGAGGGGCGCTTGGCAACATGGCCACGCACTCCAGCTGGTCAGTGCCCCGGGGCTCTTCCCCTCCTGCCAGAGTGAACCCTGCAAAGGGACAACCTGCTCCTGTCACTCTGTTTAAAGCCCTCGGGGCTCCAGGGTGCCCCTCATCACCCAACTGTTCCCCTGCTTCTTGGGCAGCCCCGGTCATGCACCAACGTCACCCACGTCCTCCTAAGGCCCAGGATCCTCACCACTCCTGGCCGCCCAGAGGGGCCGCGCACCCACATTCCCGATCCCTCTGCCGGGACATCTACGCCGTCCCGCTCTGCCACCCCACCTCCCCTGCCGGATGCCCCGGCTGATGAGAAGGGCCCGGGCATCACCCCCTCCATGCAGTTGCCCCGCCTGCCTCAGCTAACACCCCCTCCCTGTTCTCTGCCACCGCCATGCCTGGGCAGGCCTACTGTGTCTTCCCGACCCAGAGGGCCCCCTAAAGGGAGGACAGTGGGGCTGAGGAGACCCTGGACTAGAAGCTCAGGAAAACAACCTCTTCCACTTCTGCTCTCCCAGCAAGAGCGTCACAAACACTTCAAATAAACCCTGCACAAGCTTCGGTGTGGGCCACGCAGCTGAAGACTCTCGGAGTTCCTGCCTGGGGCCCTCGTGGCTGTACCTGTCACTTCCTCCAGGGGGCGACGCTGGGTGCTCCTGTGAGCAGCCAACGGCTGGGCTAACCCCAGCCCTGCCAGCAAGTGCGCTCCCCCAGGCATGCGTGTGGGGGTGCCATGTGGCCCAGGAGCCTCACAGGTGGAACTGGGAGAGCGCCTTCCTGCCTTCCCGAGGGATGAGCACCCGCCACGTGAGCCAGCGGGGCTGGAGCCTTCTGGAAGGACCATCAGGACCCGCCGTCCCTCCCGCACACTCTGGGCGGTCACCGCCATGAGCAGAGCACCCCTTCCTGATGGAGACGCGAGTCCCACACAGGTGTGGGGACTCGAGCCGCAGGAGGGCTCCTGGGTCAGTAGAGGTGCCGAGCGAGAAGGAGGGCGAGCGCGGCCAGCCCGCTGCTCTGCCCATGGAGTGCACCCGGAGGCGCTCGGGCCGCCTGACAGCCTCGTCCAGCCTTTCGGGAGCGGACGCTTCCGTGCGGTCTCCTGGGACTGCGTGTGGCTTTCCTTTAAGCCCACCTGGCTCCAGTCCCTCCTCACAGGGACCCGTCCTAACCGAGCCCATCCCCACCGCGGCTCGCTTTCTGCTCCTCCCATCGTGCGGTCTCCAAGGTCACCTGCCGCCTCTCCTCTCCCTGGAGACCAGGTCTCCCCAGACCAAACCCCTCCTGCTGCAGGCTCAGCACGCACACATCAGCACACAGGCAGCATCGTTCGGCCGCGAGTGGGCTGCAGCCCCGCCGCTGGCTCCTCTTCCCAAGCCAGAGTTCCGGGAACTCTGACCTAGGGGTGGGGGTCCCACCTTCCCACCAGCCCTGGCCCTCCAGTGTCCACGTTCCCGAGTCTGGGGCGGCATGCGAGCTGAGGCCACACGAGGGCCCGAGGAGGAGAGTTTGGGCCGGTCAAAACAAGCCCAGACATACTCACGGGGTCCGTGAGCATGGCCCGGCAGTGGGAGGCCAGGGCCAGGAAGGCCAGCAGGTTGAACACGACTCCGTTGATGACGCTGTACACGTAGTCCCGGGATGGGATCAGCATAACGAAGACGACCACGAACTCCGCGTAGAGGACCAGGAACCAGGTGACGATGGCACAGGCGATGCCGCAGCCGTCGCGGATGAACCACATGGTTCCCGCGGGGCCGGGCCGGGCCGGGGGGGCGCACTTCTCCGGCTGGAGGTACTCCGGCTTCCGCTCAATGTCTCGGGAGTGATGGGCGGGGAGGAGCATCGTCAGCTACCCTGTCCATACTGGCATCTGGACAAGAGGCAGAACCGGGAGCCCGGCGTCACCCCGTCTGCAGAGCGCCCCGAGCACCTGCTGGGCCCCTTCCTGCACACCGCGGCTCTCGGCCCTCGGGCCACCCCGTAGCCTCGCGGTTAAAGGAGCCCACGTGGCCGGCTGGGTGGAACCGCCCACTGACTGGCCCCACGGCTTGAAAAGCATTCTGGGTGTGTGTCTCTGTGTGTGTGTGTCCAAAGTCCCAGCGGGACGGAGAGAGGGCAGATGGGACTGCAGTGTGACCGTGACCCACGGGGTGCTCCCTCCCTCCCTCTCAGCATCTCGGTCTCTCTCAAGTGAATGCCTGAACCCGCTGGCAATGAGGTAAATGAAACAAAAAAAGTGAAACGTGAGTTCTTGTCCTCATCCTTGAGAGTTAACTTAGCATCTGTGAAATAGGACCACCCTGCCCAGACCATCCCGGAGAGGGGGTGTGCACGAGAGAGCCAGTGAACGCGGGCACCCGCCCAGAGCGGGACTGGCACCCGATCTCCTGGTCAGGAGGGACCTGCTGGGCAGACACGGCTCAACGGGTTTGCTCAGTTTTTAAGACAGAGAGAAATGGGGCCAGGAGGTGGCACACGGGTGACGCGACCAGACCCAGGTGGGAAGGGTCCTGGTTCTACATCCGGGGACCTCCTTGAGCACGCTGGGTACGTGCACGTGCCTGTGATCCGGGGTGGGTCGCGTGCGGGGACCCACTGCGGGTGCCGGCCTCCGCCTCCCTCTCATGGAAGGAGTAAACGAACACACTTAGAAAAAGAGAGCGAGCAGGTGATAGAGGACCGAGTGCTCTGGGGACGCTCCTCGGCAGGAAAAGCGCTGTCTCCCCACTTTCTGAAGACGAGGCCCTTGCGGGTGGCAGAGGCGAGGGGGAGACGGCACAGGACAGCCACAGCCGCCTCCTGCAGGGCTGGTGTGAGCGTGAAGGAAGCCGGTGGGGTGCCAGTGACCGCCGTGCAATCCTGCCACCTCATGCCTCTCCTCAGGAGGGTGCCCATCCCCACAGGGCGAGTGCCGAGCAGAGCCCCGTTTCCAACGGCTGGAGGCAGCAAGGGGGTGCCGGGCACCTGCAATGGAGTCTGCTGGCCCCAGCTCGCACAGTCAGAGGCGCGTCTCAGAAACTGTGATGGCTACCACGTCACCTGCCCATGGCGGGGCAGCCCAGAGCTTTGATGGCGAGGTACCAAGGCCCTGTCACAGCCCCATCCACGGTGCCTCTCGGCCTGCTGGCAGGGGTGGAGCCCGACCTGGCCCAGCATCGCCCGTCCCGATGGGCAGAACCCAGCTACGGTGCCGGCGGTTGATCGTCAGTTGCTGTAGGTCTGTCACCTGGCCGGAAACGCGGTCCTCGCCGAGCACGGGCAGGGGCACAGGCACGGTGGCTCCTACTGGAGCCCTCAGACTCCTAGTTCTCCACCAGGAGGGTCTTTGGGGTGCCAGTGAGCTGCGGAGCAGTGCAGCCAGGTCCAGAGCAAGCCCTCGGAGCGCAGGGTTCTTTCGCGAAAACATCTGCCCAGCACGTTCTCACACCCACCCCTGCACAGTGAGCAGACGAAGGGAAGCCAGGGGGAGGCTTAACAACTCAAAACCAGGCCTAGAGATAGATAGGACATCTACGAGATAATACAGACAGACAAGCGAGGGGCTGGGCTTCAGGGCTTCCACAGGCAGAAACGTAGTAGTGGAAACCGCTCTCCTCAACTCCTCAGCAGGGGTCAGGAGCCAGCAGACAGTGGGGATTTAAGTTGCAGGGTATGGGCTCTAGCATCCTACGTTGGGAAATGACCCTCGCTGTCCCGAGCAGGCAGCACCCTTGCTGTGTAACTCCCGACCTAGCTCACCCTGATGGCATTAATCGTCCATGGTCCACCCCGTACTGCCTTCATACAGTGTCTGCCTCTGCGACTTCTCACACTGCAGAGTGACAGGCGTGAAATACGAAAGGTGGCGTGGAGGTTAGGGTGCTGGAGCCCACATGGCTGACTCCCTGGTTCAACTCCCAGACCCAGCGGCTTGAGAATCACCCCGGACTCGTGTGCCTGCATGCCCAAGATCCCAAGAAGAGAATGGAGAAGGGACTGCAGTGCAGCCGCCCACCAGGGGCTGATTCCGCACCTTCCGTCTGTCCATCCCTCTCCGGTGAACACACGCCCCCATGGCAAGATTTCTGTGTGAGTATACACACGTATGTACCAAAGTATTCTTACAGGGCCGGTGGGTGGCTTGGTGGTGGACTCCACCTGGCCAACTGCAGCCTGAGTTCTGGGCCAGGCAGCTTGCTTTCCCACTTTCCCTTGCTTTCTCTCTCTTGTGAGCACATATGTCCTATGACAAGTTTAAAAATAATAACAAATAGGGACCAGCAGTTAGCGTAATGGCTATGTTGCTGGACTCCCTCGTAGTCGACTGCAGTTCGCGTCCCGGACCCAGTGGCTTAAACTCACACCAGGCGCGTGTGCATGCGTGCCCAAGATCCCGAGAGGAGAATGGAGGAGAAGGGATTGTGGCGTGGCCATCCCCCCCGGGGGGTGATTTCTAGCTGTCTGTCTCTGTCTCTCTGGCAAGCGCGTGCCCTATAGCAAAAACCTCTCCAAAAAAAAAAAGAAAAGAAAAAGAAATGAGTCAAGTAGAAAATTAATTCATCCAAGCTACAATTTTAATTTGTGAAAGAATCGAAGAGGGCGGGAAACTTCATGCCCACTTTTAGATGAATCTCCGAGACAAAGCATGAACGATGACTCACTGTGTTTGAAATCTTTCATAAAACAGAGTGAGTCACTGAGCTTTCTCACAGCGGAGGGTGTGGTCCGCAACCTCCTCTCCGGCATCACACCTGCCCCTGCCAAGGAAGGTGTCCAGACAGGCCCCGGGCCGCCTGCCCTGCGGGCTCACCAACAGGCCCCGTGACTGCTCAGAGGAGGGCTTGGGCCCCGCCTGCCGCTGTCCCTCTCATACCCGCCCTGCAACAACCCTCGGAGGAGAGGAGACTATTACACTCGCAAGGCCACCTGTGAAGGCGCGCCGAGGGAGAGACCAGGGCGGTCAGGAAGCTGGGTTTTCCCACCTGCCTCCTAACTGGCCGCTTTCTTATCAAGCCTAGGCGCAGGCCAGTCCACGCATGGTGGTTAAGGCACCGGATCCCACGTGGCCAACACTGTGGTTTAAGTCCCAGAACCGCTGGCTTCAAAACCATGTCAGGTGCACGTGTGCACCCAAAATGCCAAGAGGGGAAGGAGAGGGGATTGCGGCGTGGCCGCTCCCAAGGCTGCGACTCACTTCCCCTTCCCTGTATCTCTCCCTGATAGCGTACACGGCCTTCAGCAAGAACCTGAAAACAAAACCTAAACCCCCTGGTGCACACACGCAGGCTGAGGCCACGCCCTTCGGCTAGGAGAACGGCGGGGGGAGGCCACGGCTGCCCCCTGCCTGGCTCCTGCTGACCACTTTCTGCCTCGCGGACTGTCAGGAAACCCCCACGGTGTGGCACGGCACGCCGCGACACCAGAGATCACTGCTCGGTAAGGCTCTGCTTTCCCGTCCTGCAGGCGTGGTGTGTCACATGTTGCAATGAGGAGACAAACTGGGACAACTTTCAGACAAGCTAGGAAAATCAGGACCGGATTTGGCATTTTAGAACTAGAAAGAACATTGCAGTCTGAGTTCCATCGAATTCCCCTGCGTCACAGACGTGGAAATGCAGGCCCAGCCAGCACTTTGTTAAAAGCTGACGGAGGGACCAGCAGTTGGTGTAATGCTATGTCGCTGGACTCCCATGTAGTCAGCCACAGTTTGAGTTCAGACCCTGCGGCTTAAACTCATGCTGGGTGCGTGAGCGTGCGTGCCCAAGATCCCGAGAGGAGAATGAAGGAGAACGGATTGTGGCGTGGCCACCCCCCTTTGGGGGTGATTTCTCGCTTTCTGTCTGTCTTTCTGGGCGAGCGCATGCGACCTATAGCAAAAACCTCTCCAAAAAAGAAAAAAAAAAACCTGATGGAGACCACACGGGTAGCGTCGCGACAGGAGCAGAGCTGGGACCGACAGGCGCCTGCCAGGCCGGGACTCGCATAGGCAGTGCCTCCGCACTCAGGGCAGCCAGCACGCGGCACCCCTTGGTCCCCACTGCAGGGATGGGAGGAGCAGGCTCTGCAGGCGTGAGGCCCAAGGGCGCAGTGCAGCCAGAGTCCTCATGTTGGGGCTCAGTGAGGGCTGCTGCTTCTCCTTACCCCCGGGGGATCCCGCAGGAGTCCGCGAATTCTCCTCCACGGTGACCGGGCAGACTAGACCTCTGTGGCTTTTTAAGGACTATTCTAAGTAAACCTACTGCCCACTAGCTCTCGGGAGCCCGCAGTACCCAGTCCTCAAACAGAAACCTCGGTGTGTGTGGCCAGTGGCACTGGGTCCCACGTGGCCGACTGCTCAGTTGGAGCCCACAGGCCCGACGGCTTAGAAATCACAGCAGGCATGTGTGCCCAAAATGCCGAGAGGGGAAGGGCCCTTGGGGGTGACTTCTCAGCTTGCCTCTGTCCCCCAGCTGCACACACCCACAGCAAACATGCAAAACGGCGATGAGAAGCAGCACGCTCCCTCTCCCCGTCTCCATCGGGGCCCTTCTCTCCCAGAGCAGGACACCCACTGTGAGGTATACACGGGGCCCCTCAAAAACGCAGCCTTTTGGGGAGAGATTCTGAGGCCCAACTGGCCTCTTCCAAACCCTGGTCTGGCCAGTTTTCAGATGTGCAAAGAGGTGAGATTCAAGAATCGGCACTCACTCATAAAACGCCCAGGTGCCTCCTTGCTCCCGTGGTCTCGTGGGCGGCTCCCACTTGATCGTTTAAGTGGCTGCCCCGATGCCGCCCTACAGCAGGAAGCCTGCTATCCCCTGGCCAGTGACCGCTTCCCGTGACGGACGGCTGCCGGTGCGGCGCGGCGCGCCTGCCGGTGCGGCGCCCCCCAGATCGCCAGCCCCTCTGCAGCCGCGTGCACGCTCACCTGCTGCTGACCAGCTCCAGCCTGGCAGGGCAGGCTCCGCGTGGGCACGGCGCTGGACTGCGGCACCGCACGAGTGTGCTGAGTGCAGGGTGGCTCTGATGCACGTCACACCTGCCAGGCCCCGGGCTGTGCACTTGCTGTGCCTGCTGGCGTGCGCGCTGCATCTCCTCTGGTGCAGGAATAAGCCGCCACTTCCCACCCCCTCTTAGAGAAGGGGACTAGACTTGGAGACATCGCCCGAATTCATGCTTCCAGGAAGTGCCGATACTAGCGTGCACCCCCAAAGTCTGCTCGCACCCCCATGCCGACCTGCGACCACTCGCTACAACCACTAAACGCTGTCTGGCATTTCTGTCAGTGACCTAGGCCTGCTTAGTTTGGCTACCCGCAGCCCG